CAAAAAAAAGTTAACCTGTTTGATTTATTTTAACTTAAAAACTAAAAGCGCTATTGCACCTAAACTACGTGCATTGCATTCAGTATTGTCTAACTTAAATTTTGATATACGCCCTGTGCAATTTCGTACAATATTCACCGAGAGAGCTGCGTTTATACTTGAATAAACATTTTGGGAAGTGTCGAGAATTAGCTAAAAATGGCCTGTTAAACTAATTTGATAACCCTTACCATTTTATCGTAAATATTCGTTTCAATGAAGTGAAGTTTAAATTAAAAATGTTTATAGGATGGAGGTGCTCTTTTATTTTTGTTTAAGGTCTTTGGGAATGCATGAAAATTAATTTATGAAGCGATTTTGATTAAAAGATTTATTCTAAATATCCAATGACCCTGGGGAATCAAATTCTAATGTTCCAAGAAAGAAACGTTAAGTGTTTTTTTTTATAACTACGCCTCGTTTAGCGAATGACCAAAGAGTTTTGATATGTTTAGAATATGTAAGGGTAAAAAATGCTCGTGAGGTTATACCGGCGGCGTTGGGCAGGTCTCTGACAACGAACGTGTACTTTCTGACTATAGTGCGTCTAAGCACAGGTATTAAATATTTGATAGGCCGTTTTTGGCTAATTGTCGACACTTTCAAAAATGTTTACTCAAGTTTAAACGCAGCTCTCTCGGTCAATTTTGCACGAAAATGCACAGGGCGTATATCAAAATTTAAGTTAGACAATACTGAATACAATGCACGTAGTTTACATGTAATAGCTCTTTTAGCTTTTAAGTTAAAACAAATCAAACAGGTTAACTATTTTTGCGCCACCCGGTATATATATATATATATATATATATATATATATATATATATATATATATATATATATATATATATATATATATATATATATACTGTATATATATATATATATATATATATATATATATATATATATATATATATATATATATATATATATATATATATATATATATATATATATATATATATATATATATATATATATATATATATATATATATATATATATATATAGTATTTAAAACACGAGAAGGAGTGTTTTTTATAGCTTAAAATACGACTACAAAAGAATACTAATTAGGATGAACAATTATATAATCATACTAATTAGGATGAAGAATTATATAAAGAATACTAATGAAGATGAGTTTTATCAGATATAAAGTCACTCCACGTGACATATTATGGCTGACATGATTTGCCACAAGGTTTATGAATTATTAATGAGTATTTTAAATATATATATATATATATATATATATATATATATATATATATATATATATATATATATATATATATATATATATATATATAGCCGAATGTCAATAAATATATTGAGTGTCGAATCATACGAATAGAGTGCTCGATACGAAAGTAGCCCGCGTGCAAGCCCAAGGGAGCAGGCTCAAGGAAACTTGATAGTGGGCCTGCAAGCAAGGCCCGGTATTTTGTACTTTCCGCGTTCGCCCACGAACGCGGCATTCTGATTGGCTGTTTGCTGTTGGATTCTATACTTAGGTCAGTGATTCATCACAAAGGCTCTCGATAAGCTCAAAATTCGAAAATTGATCACTTTTTTCGATTATAAATGGAACAAGAACAGACTGTTTATTATTTACTAGAAGGAAGAGATGTTTTTGCCGTTATGCCAATGGGGATTGCTTGTCGTGAGTTGTTGGAATAGCAACATTACGACTGGGGTAAACTATAGTAACCTTTACTTGAGTTTCATTAATTTCAAACAGACTTGATACGTTATACGTTCCTCAAGAAAATTATCTTTTGGTTGATGTTGAGATGCAGTTGCATGTAAGCCTATTCAAAATACTTTGCGATTTACAAGGCTTCGCTGAGAGAGCAAAAGAGAAGACGGTATTAAATTGCCGTTTGAAACGAAACGATCTGGACTCTGAACGTTCTCTTCTTTTGTAGAGTTCTTACCAAATGAAATAACTGAAATAAATTTCGTACTTTCCGCCGCCAACAAGAATTGCACACACGATCTGATAAGTGAGACAATTTATTTATAACAATGGCGACAGCGAAGCAACATTATAAATGCTAATGTGGTCGCACGACTTCCCTCACGATTTGAAGTTTGAGACTGGTTTTCTGTTCAAATTCGTCCTAATTTGCCTGTTCCGATTTTAGTTGAAAATGAGCACTTGCAAATTTGGCAATTACTGACTGCGTTGCTTGCTTTTTGGAGTTAAAACGCTGCCATTTACACATTGCTTATGTTCTGAATAAGCAGAGAAAACCCCGCAACGTTTTAATGCGAGTTTGTTTGTTAATATTTGGGTGCTGTCATTGGTTCTTTTTTGACAATTGACGCGCCAAAAGGGGGCGTGTTATGAAAAGGGGCGTTTTACAAAATACCGGGCCTTGCTTGCAGGCCCACTATCAGTTCCCTTGGGCCTGCACGCGGGCTACGATTGCGATTAATTCCATTTCCAAGTAATCCAATAAGAAAACGAAAGGCGTAATACATACCATACGAAATGCTAAAGCACAAAATTGAATATGTATTTAAAAATGAAGAGTTGCTTACTTAACAAATGAATAATTACTTGCTAAGATATGTCGGACGACCCTTAAGACGAATATCACACCCAAAACTGCATACATATGTTTTCGATTACCATATGAAATTCTCAAACAAAAAAAGGTAAAAAATATGTAAGTAAAGATAATAAGATTGTTAAAAGTGTAATTAATTACTTAGTTGAAATAAGTGGGACCTGCGTTGGGACCAATATTAGGATCACCACCATCATCAATTGGTGTCTGAACCACGCGGGTGCCATACACAATCAAAGATTTCATCAAACCAAACGCGTCATCGAACCTGGAAAATAGAGATGAACACATATTAAAAATTAAAATAAAAACTAGGGATCCAAGGATAGTGTGAAGTTTCAAATTGAAAAAGACACCGCAAGAACTATATAAGGTACCCGACAACCAAGAAAAGCTGATGACTTACGCTACGAAATAAACAGTTACCAAAGGCATTTCATCTCATTATTTATTGCTTTTAATACGCTCAGCACACAAGTAGCGTGACGTTTGAAACAAGCCTACCACATCAGAAACTTGCCTTGTGAAACTGATGCAATTTATCTATTTATTTTGATGCTACACGCGACAATTCGAAATTTAAATAGTTTTACCAACAACCAAATTTTGCATATTCTAAATTTTCATTTGCATTTCCAGCTGTCGCTAAAAGCATCCCCACGAGGCTACTGCTATGCTAAATTTATCTAAAACTATAATTGAAATAGCTGTATAAGATATGTTATAATAAGCACTACGTCGTTACATCATTAAAAGGACGCGTTTTATCCTCATCCGTTCCGTATTTTATTCGCATATCCGTTCCGTGGATCCGCTTTATCCGCTTCCGCATTTTAACCTAATTGTTGACATGTTTTACAATAACAAGTCGGCATAGTACAAAACATGGACTGGACTGGACTGGACAGTTGGACTGGACTGGACAGTTGGACTGGACTGGACAGTTGGACTGGACTAGGACTGATTTTTACATTTTCTCTATTCTTGACTTGCACGTCACCCGCCATGTCAGGTGGCATGGCACAAAAGAATATTTTATCACAGAATAAATATACCATGGTGTGTACCAGGAGGAGATTGGTTTCAAGTCAAGAATATAACGTTTTGCACCTGAATTACTTTTGATTTTCGGAAATTGAAATACTTTACCTTCGCCGATGACCTCACTTTATAACTGGAGTGAAATCTCAAGAAACCCCAGTAAGGGGCCGACCATTTAACTTTTGAGGGGGGGGGGGCTTGGAGATTTACTGCCGGAAGGGAATTTTTTTCTTGATATGGGATCGTTATGTGCAAGATTTTTTCCCCCTATCCCATCACCATGTACGATATTTTTTGCCACTCTCTCTTTCGCAGCATTTTTTTTTTCAATAGCTTATACTATTTAGATTCTTTCAGTGGCGTGCTGGGTAGTATTTTTCTGGGGGGGCCAGTCGGCTGGCAACTAATATGCGCCCCTATAATATTACCCTTGATAAACGAGGGCCGAAGGCACGAGCCGAGCGCCACAGGTGCGAGGTTTGTCTAAGGGGGTCCGGGGGCATGCCCCCGGGAAAAATTTTGAATTTAGAGTCTCTGAAATGCCATTTCCTGGACTTTGGGGGAAGATTTGACAGAAATCTGATGGTCAGGAAACGGCATTACAACGTGTCGAAATTTGAAAATTGGTTAGAATTTAGTAGTAGCACTTAAATTGGGCAATGCTAACTACTTCCAGCAACTAATCTAATCCCAATTTTATTCTCTACTGATCTGAATACATTTACAACTTACAGCTCTTTTATACAATAACACACGGACCCCACGCATATGCATGATTCCCGTGATCGCTTCGAAGCCTGATCAATATTCCGGTAATGAGACATTACATGTGATCACTTATCATGTTTCTATATGAACGAGTGATTTCGTGTGAATCGTGAGGTAGCAAATACGGTTGGACGAAACAGTCTGCAATTTAATATACTCACTTTGTCGCCTATGCGCTTAGTCTGTTTATAAGTGTATAAACACATCTTTCCTTGGCGGAATTAGTAACTATATTTCTACGAATGCGTTTCTTCCCACCTACTTTCAAAATTCGGCGCGGGATCGGCGCCCCCTTTTCATTTTTGCGCCCCTCAAAAATTGCCAGCTGGGGGGGCCGTGGCCCCCCGGCCCCCCCCTGCCAGCACGCCACTGGATTCTTTAATTAATAATAGTTAACGTTGCGTTTTCTAGCTTCATGCATTGCTTTTTATAATACATATTGCTATGAGGTATAAGATTTGGTTCAGGGCCTCTTTACGGATGTGTAACTGGAGGGGACATATTTAGCGGGGACCTGGAGAAGTTCCAGTCGGCAAGTCTGTATCAGTGCAGCTACCAGCATATATATATGCATGGTTTAACTAATAAGTATACGCCATAGGGCAGCAGATCAGGCCAATATTAACTAGGATTCTGAGACAACCGAGTCGACCACCGAAGGTGCAAGCCTCTAGAAGGGTCTGGAGGCATGCCCCCCCCCCAGAAAATTGCGGATTTTGTGAAGCTCGGATAAGCTATTTCCAGCATTTTCAGGAGTTTTCCAACAAGAAGCTAACCTTACACTATAGTCTCCGAAAATCAAACCAGCTGATCTTCTGGGACTGGTCAAATCGATCCCTGCAACCATGTTATTTTGCAACATTTTT